AATGCCCACTATAGTGATGAAGTCATGGATCCTTTCAGGTATTAAAGTAAGGACATCTTAAAGGTGGTTTAAATTTCTGATGAGAAGTATAAGTACTGAAAATATATGTAAGTTTAGGTGATCCTCCCATGATAATAGTAATAATTTATATGTCTCTTTAAGATGTACAAATCACAACATATAATCTCATTCTCATAACAACTCTGGGAGGGAATGGGTAATATCTGTATTTGACAGAGGAGGAAATTGATGCAGACAGCAATGATTTGCCCAAGGTTACATGGCTACTAAGTGGCTAAGGCTGTTTGAACTCAGGTCTTTCTGACATTAGGTCCAGTACTCAACATGCTGTGTCATCTAGCTGCCTATAAAAAGTTAAATCATAAATAATTAGGAAGAATTAGGACAATGAAATGTATTTTATGCTTAGCAAAAAACATTGATCACTGAGTACATATGCAGTGTTTTATTGTGTGCTCTTGGAAGGATAAACACAGATAAAGCCTTTGAGTATGATTTTGTAATATGCTTGGGCATGTGGAACAAATGAATAAATACATGCTAATCACTCTGGTAGAAAGTGTACACAAAGTATAAACTTAGAGCAGAGATGCTGAGGGGAGTTTTTAAGGAATGGTCAGATTTGGGGGAGCTGGCTTCCTGGAAGAGATGGGTTGAGCTGAATTTTGAATGTTAGACATGGATGAGATGAGAGCCTTCAGTTCCTTCACACCCAGATGTAGTCCAGATGACCACTTGTTGAGAATGCGAAGGGATTCTTAGTTGTGAACAGGTTCGATTAGATGTTTCTGAGGTCCTGTATAAAGAAGCCTGCATAAATAAACTTTGTGTAAAGGGCTAAACAGATAAATTTGGCTGGATAAGAGTCTAAAAGTTAGAGTGATTAAAAAAATGTAGTTGATGAGATAGGTTGATGGTGAAGGAGGTTAGTAGTTTCAAATGAAAACCAAGTTGAAAAGTTGGGATTTGATGTAATACACGTTAGGGGAGCCCTGTCGTTTCTTTAGCGGGAAGTAATGTGAGCAAATGGTATTTCAAGGAAGGTGGGGTTGAAGCAGAGCAGATACTATATCTCCCATCTATGCTTAAAATAGCTTGAATGGTTAGGATTACCAGAAATACCAGAAGTGATACTTTATAGTGAGAAAAATGAATTTTGATTACCCAACGATTGTTCAAAAAGCATTAGTGGTTCATTAAATTATTTTTGCTGTATAAGGCAGAAAAGTGGAATACAATGGAAAAGATTTACAATAGTCTCCAGTACATAAGGTTACTCTGGCTCAACCTGAGTTCACTTTAATTCACCAAATATTGAGTTACATACTAAGAGTAAGTAGAAATTGACTAGTGAGATATAATATATAAGTAAGATGATATGAGATCCTAGATTGCAATGGTCACTTTAAATTGAGAGAGGAAGGAATAACTTAATGATGAAATCATTCTGGGTTCAACATTCTTTTTTTCTGTTCAGTTACTATCCAAGGTCCCTCACCATCCGAGGGAAATGAAACGTTTGCCCTTTTAGTGGTACAACTTTGGGACCAAAGCCCAACTTCAAACTGTTCACCTTTATGACAGCTTTAATAGGGAAGAAATGAGTGAAAAAGTATTTTTAAGCACTGTGCTAAGCATTAAAGATATAAATACATAAGTGTAATGGTTTCTGCCCTCAAGGAGCTTCATGCTTTAGAGAGAGACAGTTCATTGGGACCTGTGGCCCAGAAGGGAATGTTTTGGTTTGTGAAATTACGGCAATATTGAGAGGAGTCAGCTGACATACCCTTTCTAATACCAATGGAAAAATTACATTGATTAAACACCAGCTGTATGACCCAGCACAAGTCACTTAATCTTTGTCTGCCTCAGTGTCTTCATCTGTAAATGGAAATAATAGTAACTACATCCCAAGGCTATTGGGAGGATACAATGAGATATTTGTAAAGTGCTTTGTAAACTTTGAAGCAATATATAAATACTAACTATTGTTTTTATTTCAGCTGGAAAAGGTTGCAGGAAGGAAGAAAAGTAGGGCAGGAAGCAAGATGATTGCCAGGCTCAAATGTGAAGATGTACTGGTTATGTTACATACTCATTAGTCAGAGCATTGCAGGCCTGTGAAAGGAGTTCCAAAGATAAGAGGGTTAAATGATTTCAAATCCTTCAGGGTATGTGGACTGTGGTCTGGAAGGTGAAACCACAGGACAGATCATAATGTCTGGTAGTTCAGAAGGGTTTAGGGGAAGGCAAGGTAAGAAAACAGTTTTGAAGAAATATATACAATATTTACTGGCCGTCAGCCATTCAGAATAAAACTAATTTATTACAATGTGATGAAATGCCATACTATAAAATGTTTGTGTATGGGGAGAGGGAGGATTGAGGGGGGGAGATATTATTAAAAGTGGAGATTTTTGCAATTTAATCTTACTTAATTTTCAACCTGTTTCTTCTTGAGACTAACACATTTCTAAGTAAAGTTGGTCCTTCGTGGAAACCCAGTCCTTAATTTCAGATTGAATTTGCCCTTTCCACAATTACTGGAAACCTCTTTAGCAAGTCCCTAAGGCTCTGTTTGTTTGGATAAATTTCTCCAGTGATTCTTCTCTCTTAATAATTAGTCTCTTGTGTTTGTGTAGCATCTTACTTGTTAAGAACTTTAAATTGTTTCATTTGATCTTCATATCTACCATGTGAGGTAGCACAGGTACTATTCTCATTTCATAGATCAAATAGGTAAAGGCCCTGAGATGCAGGTTAAGTAGCTGGCCCAACATCTTACAGGGGCAGAATTGAGACTCAGATCTTCTGAATCCACACTCAGTGTGGGGGTCCCCCCCATTTTGTCACATTGCCTTTTGCTTATCTTTGAACTTTTTTTTTTTTGCTGGGTCAAGTAAGTAAATTCTTTTTTTTCCCTATCATTTCTTAACCATCCCTGATTCCAAGTTTCCTTCAATCACCAACCAGTTTGACCCCCAGCCATTCAGAATTTAGCACCTTAAAAAACACATTTCAGTAATACCCTTAAGGTTATTCTTTCTGGTGAAGAAAGGTCTTCATCTTAACTGGTGGTTCAGAAATGATAATATGTTCCTTTTTAATAGCAGATTTCATCTTAGGAGCCCAGACTTTCTATAGTGTTCTGTGTGTCTTAATAGAGGAGTAGGGATCAAAAAGAATATGTATTAAGTATCAGCAGAATCCTTGTGTTCCTAAGAGTACTTTGGTAGATACATTATTCACCAGTTTAGATATTCATTATTACAGATTGTAACCATTCCAAACTTTTTCCACCATTTGTGATGTTTATATGTATGTACTTCCTTTGGAGAGGATGTACTAGGCACTGAAGGCCTTCTTTTATTATTTTAATGTTTTAGTGATATTAGTTTATTCCTTGGGCTGTTGATTGTCATTCTGTTTGAGTTTACCTCCCCTTTTCCTGTCCTATCTACTGTTGATAATATTTTGTATCACTTTAGTCATAATTGGTAATGCTTTGCAGCATATCCCATTTTTTAAAGTTTGCCTCAGCATGGTGTTGAAAATTCATAGCCACAGAATGTCTATGGGACAATTTTATTATTAAAGAGATGGGATTTTTGCAACATTTTTTCATTGTGATCTTACCCAGCTGTGTCACTTATCCATGTTAGATGAGTTTCGGCTGCCTCTCACTTTGCTGAGGCTGGGGAAAGTGCATTTTATATCCCTCTTGTGATGTTCCATTAGGAATGATTAGACTTACTGCTTAGATTTTTGCTGTTACTGAGGAGGAAATGTCAAAGAGGTGCCTAGTTAGATGGAAGATGATGAGTCCAACTTTCGTATTCTGCATAGTTTCAGGTGTAAGCAGAACATACAAGTGAGAATGTTTATAAATAGTTAAAAATACAGGAGGTAGGTTGGTTCTTTGGTACTTAAAACTTGCAGGGTTTTTTTTCCCTTCCTCAAAGCACTATTAGGGGCAGCTAGGTGGCGCAGTGGATAGGGCACCGGACCTGGAGTCAGGAGGACTTAAGTTCAAATCCGGCCTCAGACCAGACACTAAACACTTACTAGCTGTGTGACCCTGGGCAAGTTACTTAATCCCAATTGCCTCACCAAAACTGCCCCCCCCAAAAAAACCCCATCAAAGCACTATTAAACTAAAATGTCAAAGGCCAAATTATCATATCTTTATTTCACTTCTTTTTTTGGCAAGGCAATTGGGGTTAAGTGACTTGCCTAGGGTCACACAGCTAGTAAGTGTCAAATGTCTGGTCTGAGACCGAATTTGAACTCAGATCCTCCTGACTCCAGGGCCAGTGTTCTATCCATTGTGCCACCTAGCAGCTACCTATTTCACTTCTTAGATTATTTTCCCACTATTGTTTTTTTTTCTTAATTTTTTTTATTTTTAATCTAAAATTTTTTTCTTATTAATTTATTTTTAGTTTTCAACATTCACTTCCACAAGATTTTGAGTTCCAAATTTTCTCCCCATCTACCCTCCCCCACCCCAAGATGGTATGCATTCTGAATACTCCTTCCCCTAATCTGCCCTTCCTTCTATCTCCCCCCCCCACTTCTTATCCCTTTGCCCTTCTATTTTCCTGTAGGGCAGGATAGATTTCTATATCCCATTGCCTGTTTCTCTTATTTCCTAGTTACATATGAAAACAATTTTTAATATTTGTTTTTAAAACTTAGGTTCCAAATTTTCTCCCTTCCTCTCTCCCTACCCATTCTCATTGAGAAGGCAAGCAATTCAATACAGGTTATACATGTCCTACTATTGTTAGTAGAGTAATATAGACCTAGTTTTGCAGCTATAGAGCATAGAAATAATAGGTTTTGTAAAGCAATATTATATAATCAGGGCAAGTATTTATAGACATGCTAAATAGTAATCTGAGTTTTTTTATTCCTATTAATATTCAAATTAATCTGGCATATCTTTTTTGTTGTTGTTGTTGTTGTTGTTGTTGTAGGTCCATTTTCCTGACACTGAAAGAGCAGAATGGCTAAATAAGGTAAGACCCCAATCTTCTTGTCTTCTGTAAGAATTAGAAAATGATATGTTACCCTTTATTGTTTGGGATTCTAAAATTCATAACATTAGAAACTGTGTAGCAGAATCTTGTTTGTTTTTTTTTTTCTTTGTTATAGATAACTAGAACTCAGTCATGTTGGGTTACTTGTTATACCTTGAGAAGAAGTGTCTTTTAATTGTGGCTAAAGAAAAGCCTAAGGGAGTGTTGCAAGCATACTTTCTATTTCTGTGACCTCCTGCTTACTTTATTGTTTTGTTAAAAAAATTTTTTATTCTAATACTAACTATACTCCTTGAAACAAGGATTTTCATTCATATATATATATATATATGTATGTATGTATGTATGTATACACCATAGAATAGAAGATGGTAGATGTAAATTTCTTCCTCTTGAGTATAGAGTAAATTCAGTGTATCACTTTTAAAGCTCTCCTGCTTATTTATGATTTCTTCTGGCATATCTATTTTTTTCTTCTGTGGGTGTAAGAAAATGCTTCCATAACCCTTTTCTTTCTTTTTTGAGGTCAACTCTATCCTTATTCCCCACCCCCCCTCCACTTCCATTCTACTTCCGTTCATTGAAAAGGAGAAAAAAGAAAAACAAAACAATCTCACTAAGTTACCATGCAGGCTATGTCTGGAATTATATGTCTCATACTGTAACTTGAGTCCATAACCTCTCTGTCAGGCAGTGGGTCATATGCATCATCATCATTGATTATCTGGAATTGTAGTAATCATTGAATTGATCATAGTTCTTTGAGGTTTCAAAGTAACTGGTTTTATATTGTTATTGTTATTGTTTAAATTGTTCTCCTAGTTCTGTTTCCTTCATTATACATACATTCATACAAATCTTCTAAGATTTCTTTGAAACTTTACCATTTGTCATTTTTTACAGTAGAATAGTATTCCCTTACACTCATTTACCATAACTTATTTAGCCATTCCTTTACTGATGGGTATACCCATAGTTTTCAGTCCTTTGCCACCACCAAAAGTGTATTATAGTAATTTTTGTACATGTGGGTCCATTTTTTCTTTATTTGATCTCTTTGAGTTATGAATGGGTCACAGGGCATGCACATTTTAGTAAATCTTTGTGCATTGTTCCAAATTGCTTTTTAGAATGGCTGGTCCAGTTCACAGCAAATACACTATACTTTGACTTTCTATGACGGATTCTTCACAGTAATGGCCATACTAATGTGTAGTAATCCCTGGAAATTTTTTTGGTTTTGGTTTATGTGAAGGGACAGTCAAAATTCAAAACAAAAGCATGTCTCAGGGTGTGCCTTTTGGTACATATTCGCCTATATGTCCTAAACCTTCTACATTTTTAATGGTTTATAGTGAAAATTGATGTTAAATGATTACTTTAAGGCATATTAGGTGTTCCTTAGTCATAAAAATAATATTTACTTTATAAGGAAGGAAAGTAGATTAAAATGAAAAAGATTAGCAAAAAGAGTTATCTGACTAACCCTGAATTAAATTTAATTAAGATATTAAATATCTATGATGAATATGAAAGAACCAGAAAACTCATTTACCTAGAACACTTTCTGCCTGGAACATTCTGGTTTGTTACAGTCGTACTGAATAATAAACAGAATTGTTTAATCTATCCTGTTCTCTCCCCACCCCCCACCTTCTCTTCTTCCCCCTCTCCACCATCATCTGAAGTACAGCAAACACTTTGGATATAAAATGTACAGGCAGCATCTAAAAATAAATCCAGTTGAAGGTACATTGTTCTCGATGACTTAAACAGGTTGTGTTTTTGTAACTTTTTTTTTTAACAGATTCTTATTTTTCCTTCCTAGACTGTAAAGCACATGTGGCCTTTTATTTGCCAGTTTATAGAGAAATTGTTTCGAGAAACAATAGAACCAGCTGTGCGGGGAGCAAATGCTCACCTTAGTACCTTCAGTTTCACAAAGATTGATATGGGTCATCAGGTCAGTGTCTTTTGAATTATTTTATCTCTGGTAGGCACTTAGAGAAAGATATATGTGACATAGTCAAATTGCTATGGAACTACTTAGCAGTAGGGAACAATTATCTAGACCGCTTTTAAGGTTTACACATTGCTTTCTATACTTTCTTGTTTGATTATCACAACTACTCTGAGTTAAGTACTATAGGTATTATTATTCCCATTTTACAGATGAGAGAACTGATATTTGCTTACTGATGTGCCTTACTCTTTCTGCTTTATCATTTTATCTCTCCCATTTGTACTGTTATTTATTCGTTAGAATAAGCCCCTAGCAAAATTGTGAAGTAGGGGAAGTTTGTCTTCACTTGAAAGATGAAAATTTCCTTTTTTTATTATTCCTCTCTCATGTCAGAATGCTTTCCCTTTCCTCTGCTGTACTGTCCTGCTACTCAGGGTCTAGCATTTTAGCCTTCTACCTAGCTTTGTCTTCTTCCAGTAGTACTCCTTGTGTCAAAAAAAATCTCAGTCTCCCGTATCTTCTCCACATCGCTCTCTGCTATTTTAGGCTTACTTTTACTGTGACTCATTTTTGTTTTAAATTGGAGAAATTAGAAAATGTCCAGTTAGAAATATTGAGATGCTGATATAAAAGGAATTCACTCTTAGGTTAAATAGGTGATAATTAGCTTTATGCAGTATTTCTTGGGGGATATTTACATTTTAACAAAACATTTATTAAAAACTTACCCCAAGGGGTGGCTGTCTCTACTGGTAGAGTTTCAAGCAACAACAATAAGTAGGATAAAGGAACACACTGTGTTTTCAAAAACCAGATCATGTAACAACCACTTACTGCAGCTGTATATCATGCTGACACAGAGAACTATATTTTAACTATTCCTTTTAAGGAATATTTTGATCCAGATTTACATAATTTTCAATTAGATAATCTTTTTTGTGTGAAATTTTAGCATTCCTGCCTTGCATATGTGCTTGTAAATTTTGGGTAACACATAGCTACAATTATTGTTGTTTTAATCATAATCAGTTGATATAATTTTAACAAAATGAGAATTACAAAGCATATGTTAGCATTTTATTTTTGATATTTCAGTAGTATAAGATTCATAGGTTCTTAGAGCTAGGAAGAAACTTTAGAGTCGTACTTTATTTTGTGTATGAGAAAATTCTGGTCCAGAGAGTTTGAAGACAAGGATCACAAAGCCAGTATTTTCCAGAGGATTGCAAGACCTATTCTCTTTTCACTCTGCCACAGAGGCCTTGAAACAGATGTTAAAAAAAAAAAGGCAATTGTGTGTGGTTAGTATGTTAAGTTCCCCCACAAATAACCTTTTTAAAGAGATCCTGAAAGTGAAAATTGTGGGACATAATTGGAAGAATAATATAATAATGATAGAAGTAGCAGCAACAGCTAACATCTGTTTAGCACTTAATATGTGCCAGGCACTGTCATTAATAAGCACTACTACTGTTATCTTATTTTATCCTCACAGCAGTCCTGGCAGTTAGGTGCTCATTCTTATCGCTATTTTACAGAAGAGGAAACTGAGGCAGACAGCGGTCTAGTGATTTGCCTGGGGTTGAATAGTTAGTAAGTGTTTGAGATCAGATCTGAACGTCGGTCTCCCTGACTGCAGGCCAGGAACTCTGACCACTGTGCCACTTTGCTGCCCCTTGATAGCATGTTATTTTTCAAGTAGCTTGCTACCTTCCACTAGAGTTTGAATCTGATTCTGATGTGAAAGTTACTCTGGATTCTTGAAGACCATGCTGCGGGGTCTTACAAGGAATAGATTTTGAGTATGAGCTCATGGATGGTGTGTGAGTTTGTGTTTATAATCTGACACCCATCTTAGTGGAATTCACAGAGGCTCATTGCCAAAAGTTTGACCATCAGATGATTCTTTTTTTGTTCCACCTGCTAAGGTCTGAAGGGATTGTAATTGCCATCTTTGGTAGAGGGTGTATCCACACTGATAAAGTCACGTTTCCTTGAAAATTTTGAAATGTTGTCAAGGTGTGGAATAATGGGGGAGCATTTGGTGGGAGAAGAGAAATCTTAAGGTACTGTCATTCTGTCTTCTGGATCTCATTTTAAGTAATGGATACATACTAATTTTGATGATCTTAAAACAGAAATGTTGATTCCAGAGTAATTTTCTTTGAAACAGTCTCTAGATCCAGACCAAATCCTAAGTTGTGTGGGAGCTGAGGTTAGATGACCTCCTACTCAGAAAATGCTAATAATCATTTAAACATAGAACATTAAATGAAGTTCTCTTTTGTCATGGTAGTGTTCATTTATGAAAGGAAAATTACAGAATTGCGTGTTTATGCAAACCTTCTCCCTGTGGTATCTGTTTTTTAAATATCTAACTTACCTAAATAAGAACATCTGTGAAAGACAGTGGTACAGAGAGGAAAAGCTAAAAATGTAATAGAGTACTAGGGTTTGGTCTCTGAGAAATTCTGAAATCTTACTTGTTTCAGCCCCTGAGGATTAATGGTGTTAAAGTGTACACTGAAAATGTGGACAAACGACAGATTATTTTGGACCTTCAGATCAGGTAATTATTGTTCTTCTCTGTCACTAACTTAGGAGTTAGCCTGACCAGAAAAAGGGAAGATGCACCCAACCAGCTTGTCACCCACTGACCAATTTAATGCCACCTCTTGACCTTCACTTCTTCTTTGGTTTTGTGACTTTGTGGGTGTGGGTTTTTCTTCTGTGAGTGCAGGTCAGAATCCAGCCATGCGTTATCATCCCCTATAGTTCTTGCCTGTGGTCTCAGATTGATATTCCCAGGAGGATCAACCCAGTGTGTTAGAGTCCTTTCTCCAGGCTTTAAACAAGTATTTGGTAGTTACCACTGCGACATGTAGGCTGTCTGTTATCTTGCTGTCTGACTGGCTGGCATCACACTTCTTCACACAACTTTTTGCAACTGTGTCATCATTCAAAATATGCTACAGCCTACTTACATACACCACTCATCTCTGTATTCTTTTTGGGTCATCTACAACATTGATTTTTCAGGTCTGTTGTATGCCAAGATTTTCAGCTGTGCAGAATCATTGGTAGAATATTTGGGTTAAAAAGGTAGGGTTTTTTGCTGTAAAGCCACTTGGGATCATTAAAAGCACTATATAGTTACTCAGATGTAATCCAGCCTGTTCTCTTTCTCCTTTTCAGATCATGGTCTAATTCATTGTTCAACTCTGCTATTGATAAAATGATTACGTCTCTTTATTTTATTTTAAATATTTTTGACTGTGACTTGATTTCTTTTTGACCTGGTTTAATTTCATTTAAGCCCTAGACCTAAGAATATATAATAATTTGTCTGGTTACAGTAGGTTATTGTTAATTGTTCTTTTTAAAAATAATCTATTTTCATCTTTTAGTTTTGTGGGAAATTGTGAGATTGATTTGGAGATCAAGAGATACTTCTGTAGAGCTGGAGTAAAAAGTATACAGGTAAGTTCATTTTTAAAAATCTAAATGTTCAGTATATAGTACATCAAAGATAGAACTTGTTTTTTTCCATTACATCATACTTTCTTTGAAAGATTTTTTTGCTTACAAGTTGAGGACTATGGCACAACCATTTTGGAGAAACTTGAAATCAATAGTACTAGTCATTTAAACTGTAATTTTTAAACAATAATACTTTTTTGTTTTCCTATACTTTGTCCTTTAGGCTTATATAAAGGTAATAATAACTTTTTTTCTTTATTTTAGATTCATGGTACAATGAGAGTCATCTTAGAACCATTGATTGGGGACATGCCATTAGTTGGAGCTCTGTCCATTTTCTTCCTCAGAAAACCTGTAAGTCCACATCACTATTTTTTAATCTCTTCATTGATAGAGTAAAGTACAGAAGAGCAGATGAAGAGGAAAACGTATTCTTATTTACCTTCCTTTCTTTGTACCGAGAATACATCCTAGGATTACTTCTATGCTTCTTTCTAAAGAATCTCTTGTGAAGAAATAATTTTTAAACCCTCGTAAAGTTTATGATGATAAAGTTGTTTAAAAAAGATCAATATTTCCTTCATGTTAGTAATATATATTTTATGAACAATGGTTATGCTTAAAGGGTCAGTTTTGCATATTAGATATAATTTGCACATGTTTATTATATTCATCTGAATATAAGCTGCCATTTTGTTTTCTGTCTGGCTCATGTAAAAGTTGAAGAGCCTGGGGGCAGCTAAGTGGCGCAGCGGATAGAGCACCAGGCCTGGAGTCAGGAGGACCTGAGTTCAAATCTGGCCTCAGACCAGACACTTGACACTTACTAGCTGTGTGACCCTGGGCGAGTCACTTAACCCCAATTGCCTCACCAAAAAAAAAAAAAGTTGAAGAGCCCATAGTTTTACTTTTAGTGCTGTAGATAAAGTTTAAACTTAACTGTCTTCTCAGGCTGTTGCAATAGCTTCCTCGCAGGGCCCCCTCCATGATGAATGAGTCTTTGCCCATCACCCCTGCTGCTGCCATGGCAAGATAAGGAATGATCATATAAAGATAGATTTAGAGCTGCTAGAGACCTCATCGCCCATTTCATCCAACTTCCTCATTTCACACATGAGAACTGGGACCCAGACAAGTTAAGGGACTTGCTCAAGGTCACATGTAGTGGTGAAGTACAGTAAATAGAGCTGCATTTTGAACCCAGTTCTTGTGACTCCAAATCTAGCTGTCTTTCTGTGCCAGGCTGCCTTCCATTGACTTGAATAAGCTGCCTACATCCTTGCTGTGAGTCTTTAGAGATAAAGATGTCCTTGTCAAGTTCATCAAGCTTTCTTTTTTACCACATATCAGTGAGACTATTAAGCAGTCCTGTGGATGTGGAGTAGAAAGGAGCTCCCTAAGCTTTACCTTTGCCAAGATTTTGTACTTGCTTCCTTCTGCTTGGGCTCAAGCTTTCCACTGTTGGTAGAGAGGTGATACTGGGCCAGTACCAGGAACCTGTAGAGAGTGGAAAAGTGGGGGATGGTGCCTGCAGAAGAGTACCAAGCTTCCAAGCTTTGAACTGATCCAGGGCTTGCTGTAGGAGTGGAGTGAGAGAAGGCAGGAGGAGAGCAAGGGAGGGAGGATGATTCATCTTTTGGGCTCTTCAGCCAGGAAAAGTTTAACTTACCATAGTTTTTGGCAATTCCAAATTTCCATACTTTTCCTGGTTTATTTCTTTGTTTTTTAGCTTGTAATGATGTCATACTTTTTGCGTGGCAAAAACAATGCAGATTTTTTTAAAAGAAAAAAACCCCAACAATTTATCCTAAATAGCTCAGTTGTTATATAATCGCCTTATATAATATATGTAAGTTTTTATATTTAACAGAAGAAATGATCTCATTTTAGAGATGCAGTTTGTAGTCAAACCAGTGCATTAATACTTCACAGTTAATCATTTATCCATTGAAATGGTTCAGTATATGGTGTTATATTGTTATGTGATGGGTTTATCTAACCCAGGGCTTCTTAACTGTTTTTTGTATGTAAATGGAACCTTTTGGCACTCTAGTGAAACCTGTGAACCCCTTATTGAAATAATGTTTTTAAATGCATAAAAATAAAATACATGGTGTTACCAAGGAAATTAGCTCTATTGAAATACATTTATCAAAATATATATTTTTTAAGTTCAAAGACTCCAGATTAAGAATGCCTGATTAACTCAGGCCTCATTTTTTAAAAGCAAGGCTACCTATATTTCCAGACAGAAGCAAAGAGTTTCTACTGTTGTCTTTATTTTTTCCACTAAGAAATTCTGTTAATTTTTAAAAATACATCGATATATTGGTAATTTAATCTTTATATTTTGAGGGTCAGTTTTGATTTTGTTAGATGCATGGAATATTTAAAGACTAGTCTATTGCTTTTACCTTTATATCTAAACTTGACTTACACAATTTTTTTAAAGGAGGTCCATAATTAGTTTAAAAAAACTATTAAATGCTTCATGAGTACAAACTGTTGTGCATATTTTAAATAGCTTCTAGGTTAAAGTTCAGTAAGTCACCTAGTATTTTAAGTTAATGCTTTATTTTTTATCTATGAAATTTAATACTTGTTTTTTCTAGTTTATAAGATAAGCAAAATTTAGTGCATTACTCTTTGACTTTTACTCAAAAATCTGTATTATTCTTATTTCACTTAAATCTGCCATATGTATGGTTTACCTCTAAAAAAGTATATTTATATATTTTTTGAAGACCTTGCAAACAGAATTTTATAATGCTTATAAAAAAGGCTGGAAGCTGAAGATTTAGGAGTCATTAATTTAGACACCTCAGCCTTATATGGGCAATAATCAGTTATCCCACAGATGCTACAGACTGAAGGGAATTTTTGTCAGTTACTTCAAGCTGGAAAATGTGAGAACAAAATCCACTGCTGGTTGCCAAGTAATTCTTCCTCTTTAATAAAAAAATACTTTAAAGCTTTTTTGGCTGTCCTTATTATTCAGAAATTTGGTGCTAGTAACATTATTGAACTTCTGTAAACTTTGAGCTTTTTAACATTTCCCCCCCAGTTAGCAAGCTTTTTTTTTTCTATTTCCTCTTCTTCTTTCCCCAGTTGAAAGTAAAAAGGGAAGGAAAGAAGGAAGACCAAACCTTTCTAACTCATAAGCATAGTAAAAGAAAACAAATTTCTGCATTGGCCATGTGAAAAAAGTGTCTTATTTTGCTTCTTGAGTTTGTCACCTCTTTATCAGGAGGGTTGGTTACGTGTTCCTCATTGGTCCTCTGGCATTGTGGTAGCTCATTGTATTGATTGGAGCTCTTACGTCTTTCAAAGTTGTTTGCCTTTACAGTGTTGTAGTTATAGTATAAGTTGTTCTCCTTCATAGTTCATTCCACATCGTGATTTCCTTCAACACAGTAATTACGTTATATTAATATATTTGTTCCTCATTTTCCAGTTGATTGGCATCCTAGTTCTTTACCACCAGAAGAGCTACTGTTAATATTTTTGTACATATGGGTCCTTTTCTTCTTTAATCCCTTTGAGGTATAGGCACAGTCGTGGTATCGTTGGGTCAAAGGGTATGCTTCGATTTAGTGCTCTGTGAACTTTTATATTGAAAAGCCAAAGAAAATCCTTAGCTAGATTATTCATTTTCTGAATAGCTCATTAATGAGATTAAATTAGGGGATATTTTATTTACTATAAGTGTAGTCTCTTGCTAAAGGCCTAGAGATAAAAGCTGGTTCTGGTGTGACTGATAATCCTCTTTGATAGAACATTAGCTCTGTTGGCAATATTGTCTTTGGATCTGAGGAATAGCTAGCCATTTGGATGCTTTATTGTAGTCCACCTGACTCTCATTCCCTGAAGTGTAACCCTTTCCCACATTCATGGACCTTTTTTTCTTTTTTCTTTTTTTGGTGAGGCAGTGGTGGTTAAGTGACTTGCCCAGGGTCACACAGCTAGTAAGTGTCAAGTGTCTGAGGTTGGATTTGAACACAGGTCCTCCTGACTCCAAGGCTAGAGCCCTATCCACTGCACCAACTCCTGCCCCCATTCATGGACCTTTTCAAAGACTTCATATGCATTTCATGCAGGTAGGGCCAGTCTAGGAGTGGATCTAGAAAACCCATTTCAGAAGTATACCAGGAATTTTATGTGGCCTGAGTACAGTTGTAAAGATCTAAGGGTCCCTGAGTAAGGATAATAGTACTGGAATCCACTCAGGGATATTCTCATGGATTCTACTTGCTCAATCTTTTCAACTGTTTACAGTGTGGAAAACCACAACATAGGCTCCAGTCTAATCGTAGACTGGAGAAGGCCATTGAATATTCAAACTCATCTTAGTTTATGATTCATATATAAATGTAGAGTTTTCTAGAAGAAAAATAAAGGTGACCACTGACCAAACAAACTGACCATTGTCCATTGGGGTAGGGGTTAGAGAAGTGAAAAGCAGTAGATCATTTATGTGGTCTGTAGTTAAGGTATAAGGATGACAAATGGATGTTCTACGGACATAAAATGAAGTTATTTTATAGTTATTAGGCAGGACATGATAAAACCTTTTTGACTATGGCAACTCATGAAACAGGGCAAATTTTTGAAAGTGGCAGTTTGTGTGCATTCTTTTGCTTCAGCAGTGGTAAGAGTGATAGGAATGAGGGCAGAACATGTTAAGAATCACTGTTTTTAGACCATCCGCAAATTTTAATTTAAATATTAATTGTCTAAATGTAATTGTCCAAGGACCAACAAGTAGACATTTCTAGAGGAACTGAGTGATAACAATCTTGACATTCTTGCTGTAAACAAACCCTGGAGAAAGAAAGAAGTATTACCTAAATGAAAGGATGGCTCAAAAGCAATCTTTAGAGAATCAAAGAAAAAAGTTGACAGTGGATTTTTATAGTATGCTCAAGAGCTACAAGAACTATTATGTCATGGAACATTTGGTCATAACATATTAGTCAATGAGTAAACTTTTATTAAGTGCCTTCTTATGTGCCAGGCATTATGCTAATCATTGGGAATACAAAGAAAGACGCTTGATAGTCTCTTCCTTCAAGGAGCTCACAATCTAATGGAGGAGACAGCATGCAAACAAATGTATACAAATAAGCTGTACATAAGATTAAGAGGAAAACAACAATGGAGGTAAGGCAGTAGAATTAAGAAGGTTTGAGAAAGGTTTTCTATAGAAGGTGACATTGAAGCCCATCTGACTTGAGGAACTTGAAAGAACCAGCAAAGCCAGGATGGAGGACTTTCCAGGTGTGAGGGACAGCCAGGAAAAACATCCAGATCCAGGAGACAGAATGTCTTATTTTGGGTCCAACGAGGAAGGCAGT